TGCCCACCCAGTTCTTCTAGCTGTGCCAGCAGCAACGCGCTCCCTATCTGCATACGCACAGTCAGTCACCGAGAGACATGGCCCACGTGTCCCAAACAGATAGGAGAAAACAGCCAAGGGGGCCACAGCAGACTGATCGAAGCTGCCAGCTCTAATGCGTTGAAACGTTGTCATTCCTCTCATAGGCTGTTAACAAGGAGGCACAGGGGACTTCTTTGCACAGCATCTTCTCAGCTACATTTGGGGCAGGGAAGGAGATAAAGCTTCTGTGCTATAAGAGAAAGGGGGTGGGGGGCAAAGGTAATGCTGAGGGACTCCCTTCTCCAGAAAGCGACCCATGATGGGGAGGTGACACCACGTATTTTGTATGAACACGTGAAAAGAGTGAGGCCTGCAGAAATAGATGAAAACACTCAGGGACAAAGCAGACTTGTTCTCACAACCTTCTCTGGCATCAGCATAAGAGACAAAGGGACATTGCCCAAACACAGATAGCCGGGTAAGAAGGGCCAAGAGCTCTGGGCTAGAAGCAGCTTATAAAGGGGACCCAGGTGCCTGGAGGCAAGTCTTTGCTTCTTTAAAAGGATTCTTTCTCCTTAGCATGGATTCTTCTCTGTATTTTGTCTTCTCTTTCCCAAACCTAAATCACTATTTTTGGTCTCAGAGCTTTCCAGGTGGTTTCTACTCCTTACCTGTAAAATGCTGGAGGTGGCCAGGCAGCTCTGAGTTACCAGCAGGGCAGAGCTTCCCTCCATGTGCCACTTACAGGTGGACAAAATAAAGTTTGGGAACTCTAGGAGCACCTGTGGAACTGCAGACAGATGAAAACAGTTGCAGATAACAGTGGGAAATTTGCATTGGCATCTGCAAGGTTTGCACCAAGAGGTAAATTCAAGTTTTTGGAGATGGTAAGAAAAGAGAGGTAAGAAGCAGTCGTCCCCCTGTCCCATTCCTGTTCTTTTCCAAGCTACAGTTTCACTTTGGAAAAAAGTGAGATGGCCAGGAAACGTGCTTTTCCGAAAGATGATGTTAGCAACCAAGGCAGCATTTCAACGTAGGACTTCTTAGTTAGAACTCTCTGTCTTCCAGCTCTTTTCACTCCTTCCCTTTCCCATTGCAGAACCAGCTCTCAGAGATCATTATTACAAAGAACAACAACAACAAACCAGCTTCATCAGTTCTTGTGAATGCTGAAGGTCACCAATGTCACCGTGAGTTATAATGACACACATCACTCCCCTCCTCATGCAAACGGATTTAGAGCCTGTTTAAAGGCTAGCGTCTCTCGGTGCACTTCACCCCTTCTGCTACCTCTTCTTCACACACATGTGCTCTCCTCCAGCAGCAGCTGCTGGAAGAAATTATGAATTCCATTATTTTTCATCCAGAACAGCTTTGCAGTATATGGGAGAAGCACTGGAGGCTGCAGGCTCGTTAGCACAGGATTTGTATTGCCGCCTTCCATTTTATTCACCTTCCCAAATCAGGTGTAGCACGCCTGCCCCAAACCTGTGATTTCTGTTTAATTAAAATGCAGGCAGTGGAGTCTCCTGAACTCCAGAGCCCACCAGACAATTAGATAGTGACAGTGACCCACTAGAATAATGCTCTTGATATAGTGGCTGCTCTAACAGAGTCTTAATTTCAGTCGAGCAGAACAGCACCTCTGGTAGCAGCTGCATTTAGGGCTGGGATGAATATCACTACCCAGCCTGTCGCTGAACACTCACTGCCTTCCCAATCAAAGCCGGCATCCCTGACAGCTGAACTGTTAAATGAATTAACAAGGCGAGAAGGGGGTTTGCCGACGGGGCTGCGACTCCCTTCCTAATTTCTGCAAGTGGCAGCTTTCAATTTTTCTGTCATTTGTCGGGAGACGCGCTTGGTTCTCTAATGAGCAGGGCTGAGCTGCAGCCAGCTCTAAAAAGGTGACGTTACGAGGATCTTCTGGTCTGCTAGGAGAGGGATCCAGATGCTTGAGGTGGGTGGGTGAAGGACACCGGCTCTGTTCCGACAGAACAGGCAGTGCATCCTTCCCGGCTGTGCTGAGTGCAAGGTCTCCCAGCCTGCTCTCCTGGCACGAGGAAGAACTGCTCTTCACATCAGTGAGTTTTGCAAACATCCAGGCAGAACTCAAAATGGAGCCTTTGCTGAGGCTTTGATCTTATGAACTACTGCAAGAAGAAAAATGGGTTTGCTCCACCTGTTGAAAAAACCCCAAACCACTTGTGTCCAGCTCCCTTATTGCCCATGCAAGTCAGGATATGTCCTGTTGCCCGGCAGCAGCTTGTTCTCTCCCTAAATCTCCCCCTGCGTGTCAGTCAGAGCCAAGTGAGAGCTGAGTGCCTGTGCTGCCCGAAAAGGCTGTCGGCTGGGGTACAGCTCAACAGTGCTCCAGGGCTCAAGAGAAACTCCCCATTCGGGTGCTTTTTACTCGTTTGAGTGGCAAAACTGCAAGAAAGTCTGTTTTAATGGCTTTTTTTTTTTTTTCCTCAAGTTTGTCAGGGGGCTCCATTGCTTACTTGACCTTTTATTGTAAAAATCCAGCTACAGTCATAGAAAAATCCGCAAATCTCACGGGGAAGAGTGCAAGAGGGAAGGAAGGATTTACAGACACTCCTCCTTCCGCACCACTCGTCTGGCTGCACCAGACACAGCAGCTGAGCAGCACATCAAGTGTCAGTATTATTTCCAGGTGCCCCACGCTGTATGAAACACCCACCAGGACTGCACAGAATTGGATATTTTCACTGAACTGGCTCAAACTGGCCCCATTTTCCCCAAGGCACATGCTGTATATTCCTTTTTACAACTGAGAGAGGAATGTTCTCGCACCTACCAGAATTACTGCAACCCTTATGGCAGAACGGAGCACCGTTTAACAGTTCCGAGACGTAAGCTATCTGGGGTCTTCAGAGGTGGACTGGTCCCCTTCAGTCATTTTGTGTTTAGTGCTATGGCTGCATTGTCAAGATTTGTTGTTTGTTGGGAAGGTTTTCTCTGGTTTTAACATGGATGCCCCATTGTCAAAGCCAAGCGGACCCATTTTTTTCCAGCTTGCTGCTTAACTGCTTTTACCATGGGTAAGAACATCAAGCAAACAATAACAACAAAAACTTGTATTGCCACAGCACACTTTAACTCAAAGGTGTCACAAATCAATTTAAAACTTAAATTGCAATACCAGCTCCAATCACTTTACTCACAGGATAAATCACAGCCAGTTCTGGAGGTGGAAGAGGCAGTTATATAACAAAGCGTAATAACTTCACACAACAAGAGTGAAAATCGGCAGGAAGATCCTACATTCATCATTTCTACTGCATGAACCTCGATTGTCCCTAACCAGAGGTAAATCCAGTATCTCTAAAAAAACCATCTGAGTCATGACACACCAGCCTTGCCTGCCTGTGAAAGATGGTCTCCTGGATATCTCCGTTTCTTCCCAAGTTTGGCTTCTTCCATTGCCCTTTTCCCTGTTTGACTTAATGATAATGAAGACCTGGACCATGGGATTAAAAGACATGATATAACAACATTTCCTTGTTTTCCCCAGCTGATTTTCTGTGCCATGTACATGTGTATAAATGCATCTGCTGGCTCCATTTGCTGCAGTGAGATACTTAGCTCTGAAACAAAAGTGTATTTTGAAGCCAGATACAGTTGGCTCCACTTGAGGCTTTCTTTGCTGCAGTTGCAGAAGTTGGAGCAGCAGCAAACTAGAAAAAAATGTAAATATTGCCAGCTGTCTCTCCAAAACGATGCTGCTCTGATTAATTTATGATGTTTTCTGATAGAGAATGTTACACCATATTTGAAATGAAAAGGTTAAGTAGAGTTTAAAAAAAATGTGCAGTAGAGTTTAAAAAAATGTGCTTTGCTTAGTTTTGAGCAATAGAATATTTAATGAATAATAATAAAATGAATTAGTGCTGGGTTTGATAGCTGCTACATCCTAGCCCTGAGACAGAAGAACAAAACTAATCAGCTTCGTTCATGGTGGCAGACTGAACAACGGGAGGGTGCGCGTCGCCTATTCTTGTTCTAAGCTTCAAAAGATGCTCCAGCAGAAATTGATACCATAACTAACAACTATTTTGGCGCCAGCCTCTCTCCAGCTGGGGTCACCATAAATACGGCACCGCCGTCGTGGCTGTGAGGAAGACATCAGCTATTCCAGTCCTGCGCTTCTCAGCTAGAGTTACTGAGAAGGACAGACTCAGCTGCGGGTTATCTGGGCTCTGCAAAATCACCTGTTTCACAAAGCATTCAAAGAAGTGTCTAGTTAACTGTCTCGTCCTGATTTCCACTTCCAACCTTCCAATGAAGGGATTTTTAAAGCGATCAGCAAGTTACATTTCATAAGCACGGCCTGGATTCATGCACTAGATCTGTAAGCAAAGGCATGAATGGTGCCACTGACCCTCAGCTTCTGTAGAGGCTGGATGCAGCTACAGATCTGCATGTTCCTGAGAGCAATCACCATCTGTGCCTCCAAAGCTAGCATTAAACTGGACACAGCATCTTCTTGACTTCAGTAACATAAAAATACAGCAAGGTGTGGTGCACAGGCAAGGTCTCTACGCAGAGAGCTATAAACCAAAAGAACCAGCTTTCCAAGTCTCCCTTGTTTTGTAGTTTTGTTGCTTTTCCCTTGTGGCTTTCCTGTGCTCCACTTTTCACTTCTTTAACTTGAGTCAATTTTTCCCTCAAGCTAATTTTGTATGAACAGTCATCCTCCTGCAACTCCAAAAACGACGACTTCTTTCTTTCAAATGCCCTTTCTCCCCTTACTCCTGTAGACCAACTGGCTTTCAAATGGCAAGAAACTGTCAGTGCCAACCTATTCCAGGAGAGGATGCTACAAAAAACTGTTAGCGATCCTAACTGGGGAATTTTTCAAATCATCCCTTTCCCGGACAGATATTAAATACTATCCACAGAACAGTAAAACATGCTGGTACTTTTGAAAAACATCAACTAATTTTCCATTTACCTACCTGCTTCACCCACAAAGACTTCCACTGGTGTGCTGGTAGGGCTCTCACCAATTATATTATATGCTGTCATTAGCACTTCATATCTCTTGTATTTCTTCAACTCTGAAAAAGTAAAATATTCTATTATATATAATTATTTATACTATATCACTGATATTTTTTAGACTCCATCACCTCTTTATCACCAGACTCTCTCTCATGAAACACAGCATTAGAACAGTAGTACAATAGTGCAATGCCTAATTTCAACCTTCCTTAATTCACACATCACAGCAGGATTTGCATAATTATGAATGATTGTTGTGATGAAATGGCAGGATTTTCCAGTGTTTCCTCATGGTGTTGCTCCAGTAAGAGGAATCATTCCTGATGGGTAACTAGCTAAAGGAACATCTCTAGGTCATTCTTAATGACAAAAAAAGGCAGGACTTTGCTTTGAAAGGTCAACGTATGGGCTCCTTTTGATCTCTACTGGTAGGAAAGAACACAGCTTCAAGCCTCTGCCTAATTCTAGGAACTTTCATCTGGGGAGTCGTTTAGCAACTGCACTGCTCAAGCACGTCACTGCTGAAGCAGGGTGCAGAAGAAGATCTGCAGTGGGGAATCTGGAGAGCCATCGGCAGTGATGCATGGGTTCCTTGCTCCTTCAGAGTGACCGCAGCCTGAACATCAATCACAAAGAGAAAGGAGACTTTGAAGTCTGGACTCCATTTGGCCACCAGGCAACCAATTTCTTTGCTGACATACAGAACCTACTCTGACAGATGAGGTAGGAGAGCGAGAGCATAGTGAAAAAAAACTTGGAAAACCCACTGCTATGAGGGTAATTAACAGATGCAAATGAGGGTGGAGTAGAATCACGTCAACGTCATTAGGGGATGCAGTGCCTGAGCAGTTTCAGATTTTTGCATTTTCAGGATGAAAGAATCAATCCTAACAGAAATATTTATCATCTAAAAAATTTAACAGTGAAATCAGAGTAAGAGAACAATCAATAATATACATTGCTGTATTTAAATGAGCACTGAATTAAGACATGCATGGCCAGGGGTCCAAATTTCTCCCTTTGCTGATCATTTTCTCTTCTATCTATGAATCACATAGTACCCTTAACTCTGTGGCTGACAGTATGCCATCGGTTTGGTAAGGTTCAATAAGCCTAATCATACAGGCTCGTGTAATTTCAGTTTCACGGAAGTGTTTACAAGTGTTGTGTTCCTGTATCTGACTCAGGGTCCAGCCTCATTCCCTGGTCTCAGGCATACTGCAAATGATACCTGAATCAACAGTAACTTTTTGATGTGATACCACGAAACTCAGATGGACTGCAAAACATGTAGCAAGCAAATCAGAAATAATGATGCCAAGTTCATAAACAAACAAAAGATAGTAAGATATAGAGGATATAGCAGTGGGCAGCTTGTACAGGGAAACTTTAACTGCTACCATGAAAAACCATAAGGGAGATTTTAGTGTTAACTGGATGTGAAAGAAAATGGAACACATGAGAGTTCATGCATGCAAGTTTCAGTGGGGATAGGGCTTCATTTTTTTTTTTAGCCATCACAATCTGTGACTCAAAAGCCTTGGGCAAAACCTATCTAGTGAACCATCATCACCACAAAGCAACTTGCATTTTAACTCTGTCGAATGCTATTTTATTCATTTCCAATTGAAAACACCTCTGGAGATGCACATATATTCATTGGGCCCTCTCTAAACTGGCCTCCTACTCCATGGAATGCCTGAGCATCGCAATGCTTGAATCATAGGACTAATGATGTGATACAGCTAAACTCAGATGGACTGCAAAATATGCAGCAAGCTGTCGTGATTTAACCCCAGCTGGCAACTAAGCACCACGCAGCCGCTTGCTCGCTCCCCTCACAGTGGGATGGGAGAGAGAATCAGAAGAGTACAAGTGAAAAAACTTGTGGGTTCAGATAAAGCCAGTTTAATAGGTAACACAAGAGCCACACACGCAAGCAAAGCAAACCAAGGAATTCATTCCCCACTTCTCATGGGCAGGCAGGTATTCAGCCACCCCCAGGAAAGCAGGGCTCCATCACGTGTAATGGTGACTTGGGAAGACAAACGCCATCACTCTGAACGTCGTCGTGTCCCCCCCCCCTTCCTCCTTCTTCCCTCAGCTTTATCTGCTGAGCATGATGTCATGTGGTATGGAATATCCCTTTGGTCAGTTGGGGTCAGCTGTCCCGGCTGTGTCCCCTCCCAACTCCTTGTGCACCCCCAGCCTACTTACTGGTGGGGTGGTGTGAGGAGCAGAAAAGCCCTTGGCTCTGTGTAAGCACTGCTCAGCAGTAATGAAACCATCTCTGTATTATCAACACAAATCCAAAACACTGCCCCATACCAGCTACTATGAAGAAAATTAACTATATCCCAGCCAAAATCAGCACACAAGTGAATCAAAATTCATCCAGCATCAGCAATACCGGGCTGTTACAGTCAATAATGTTTTACCTTCCCAGCAGCCACAGTTTTACAACAGCTACCTACTTGCATCATCAATGTCTCTTGATACTGGGAAAGCAAAAGCTTAAAGAAAAAGAAACTCAAGAAAGCAGAATCATTAATCTGTGTTGATTTCTGCTAGATCCACTGAGGAGAACCATAGGAGTTTGCCTATAGTGTATTTTGAACCATTACAAAGAGTCGCATCTAAAGGCAATGTGCACTTACGTGTTAATTCATACGTCGTTAATGCAGAGCTGCTGTTCACTGTCTTGAAGCTGCTTTGGGCTATTCAGAGTAAGCAAAGCAGAAAGCTTGTTACAGTGCAAGGAAGTAGTTACTGCAAATGATGTACAGCAGAGACAGAGGCAAATGATGCAGCACACACATCCACAGTTTGAGCTTTAGGACTATACCTTGAAGGGCAATAAAATCACATCACTCTCTCGTAACACATCAAAAGCATCGCACTCACACGGGGCTGTTTCATTTCCTTCTCAAACAGAGAATCTCACAAATATACAACACAGAAATGTTCTGACTCCTAGATTAAATAGAACAAATGAGTAAAAAGGAAACAATTTCTGGGGGGGGGAACTCTCAACACTGTATTACGTTCTTGTTTCTCAACATGCAAAATTTGACACCTGAAGAGCTGCAGGGTAAGGACCTGGAACACGGGCCTCAAAAAGCAAACACTTACAATAGGACGGGACCTGTTTCTTTAAATGTGTGTTAGGTTTCCCAGTTTCACTCATAGAATTCGATATTCCTGCTGTGAGCGAATTGTAATAATACGTTAAACCTGCACAAAACCACAGGTCAATGAGGAACAGAGATGTACTAAGGTGCGAAATACCATATTAGGAGGAGAAAGGGGGAAACTTCTCTTAAAATATGCTTGCTTCCACCCCTTTTCCCTCTCTCTGGACTCCCTGGAGAGGTCCAGCATGTTTTTTTCCTACTATACAGCTATTGGGAAGATAGCTGCAGGGCCAGCCAAGAAGAGGGAAGAGGGAAAACCAGTAGGTTTTACAGGCTCCCTGGCTTGTGAGACTAGAGAGCATCCAGAGTCATTATTTTATGATAATACATAGCCACTTTTTCAGCTTTTGTCCCTTATACGTACCTACACCTATAGGAGTTTTACACCTCTACTGTGACCTGATAAATCTCCGTACAGTCTGAAAAGTCTCTCTCAGCAATGACGATATAAGTGGGGTCAGAGTTAGGTGCTTATGTTGTATTTAAAACATTCACTTCTTCCACACCCCCCAAAAATCACTCTTGCTTTTGTAGAAACCATTTTTATGGGTTCAGGGAAACATGGAAGATGAGGTAAGATATTAAAATAGTCTCACTCAACCCTGTTCTGCTGCTCTTAGAATATTATCTTATTCTGAATATTCCACTGACATCAAACAGGACAAAAGCTGGTCCCTCCACGAGCATGTCTCATTGCTGGACCATATCTGTCAGGCTACTGAGTGCTCACATCTTTGCCTCCCATCATCTTATTCTGCCTATTCTTCCCTCTGATTTCCTTTCTAGCCTTTGTCTAAAAATCCTTTTCATTTTTCTATTATTTCTGTGCCTCTCCACCTTCTTTCCATGTGAGCCAAAACCCCCGGTGACTAACATGGCAAGCATGCACCTTGAAATTCTTTCTCATTTTTGCTATTTTCTTCCAAAATAGACACAAGCATTTTGAAATTGTAAAAATTCTATTTAAAATTTCTCCTCAGTCGTTTTCTTATACTGCAAAAGGACCCCCAAAATGTCAATTATAAAAACTATTAAAAAATATCAGGAAAGAAAAACGTTCCCAGCTGAGGAAAATGAAGTCCCTCTCTTTTGTCTCTGATGGCAGAACAAAGAATACCAGGGTAATCATGAAATGGAGGTAGCAGAAAGCAGGAAATCAGAGGATACATGGGGGGCACAACATCAATTCAAGCAGCATGGCATAGATTAGTGTGTATCATTACAAGCGATGCTGACCAGAGTTATTAGCATTTTTCAGCATCTTCACCCTGATTGTGTAAAAGCTAAATTATCCCCAGCACCATTAGACACAATTGTGTGTTATTTCCACAGGGCCAGAGCGCATACAGTGTCTGGTATAACGATGCATTACCATTCTGGGATATTATAGGGTCCAAAACACAGGCTTACGTGTGAGCTCTGCTCTTAAAGCTGAAGGGTTCTGAATGGTTTTGGATTCTGTTCCAGATCCAGTGTCGTAATCCAGCTCCCGATAGTAGATCCGGTATCCCAACAGCAAGCCATTGAGACTCTCAACTTTGGGTGGCTGAAAAACATTCAGATGAAGAACGGGCTTGGTAAGATGTGAATTGCAACCAACATCAGTCACAACGGCAGGTAGCTGCCACCGGTCCTGTGTGATGGGACACGGCTCTCTGGTGAATATAGCCATTAAAAATATACAGGGTCAAAGGTTGTGTAATTTAACAAATACAAGTTAAAGGTAACTTTGATGATCTCTCTCAGAAGTGGCAATTACAAACGGCCCTTAAAAATCGACACTTGATGCACTACGCTAAGAGCTAAGCTCCTTTCCTTCTTGGTCCACAGAACCTTGTGTGATGAAGAATATAACCCAACATATCCCTGAAAATGCACGTTGCTGGCCACCAACAGTGGAATAGCAAACCAGATGAAAAAAATAAATTAATTTTGTCAAAGGCAAAATTTTCAGTGGCTATTTTCCTTGGGAACTGTTCCTAGAGCATTCCTCATTTGGCATTATTTTACTGAAAGACTGACGAGAAAATAACAAAGCATTGGTGTATTCTGGCTTTAATTAGGAAGAAAATAGGTCTAAGCCTCAGAGAGGCATTTAGAGAGGAGCCATGGTATGATGGACTCTGGTGTGTTGCATAAGTCCAGTTCCGCAGGCAAGCCCCGGTCTCCTCCGTAACAACTTGGAGGTATACATGGCCACTGTATTTCCCTCTGCAACATGTTAGAAGATGCTCAAAGACATCGTGCCTCAGCAAGGATTCTTCAGCAGCCTCTCACATCTTCCTTCAGATACAGATCTACAGCCAGTACACCGAAACAGAGATTTTTGTCTCAATGGCTTGCTTAAATAAAGACAAGCAGAAAGATTCTTCATGTTTGGGGAAAAAAATACTACTTTCATGAGTCTAATACAGCCTAAGAACTGCAGAGAAGAAAAGATGCCCTGAGCCATTTATCTTCTAAAGATTCTTGTACTGAAATTTAAGGGGCTGAAAGTATAAATGAAAAGGATTTTAATGATGATCTCGCCTTTAATCCAGAAAAATCCCTAGCAGTCTTGAGAAATTTACTAAGGAAAAACCTTCTGTCCACTGTGGAAAAATTAACCACTGGTGTGAAACACTGTCACAATAGAAGGTAATACCACATGCAATTTTAATGAAGAAAATAAGAATATTTGTACAGGAAAGGAGCAAGATATTTGGTAATAACCTAATAATGTGCTTCCAGAAATGTCAAGAATTTTCCATTACTTCATTATGATGGCAAGAGAAGAGAGAGGGCTGTGCTGCCTCAGTGCAAAGGACTTGGCTTTGAGTGAGGGCTGAAGGAATTAAGTAGAAAGATTGCAGTTTATAGAAACAAACAAACAAAAAAAAAAAGAAAAAAAGAAAATTACGTGAACCAGAGTACAAGAAAGGTAAACGGCTACTGGGAAAAGGAGCAGAAACTGCTCCCACAAGAAGCTGCCTTCTTTTGCAGTTGTCCTGCCCAGAGCCTGCTGAAAGCAATTCAGATAGTCCCAAGGTCTTGCTGTACTTGCTCTGCATGGTTGGAGAACCTCATTTATCATTGTTTCATGCTCATTATTGTGCTCCATCCTTTGGAGAAGCTCTGACCACCTATCACTATTATTTAGCATTTGCTTTTCAGAACGATCTAGTAACACAAGATTGTGAGGGACCTCGAGAATCATCAGGACTAGACCCTCAAGACTGAAGAAAACAACTTAAAATTCTTTTCACAAACAGACCAAGCTCTACCAGAAAACAAGCTGATTTTTCTGCTTCCCGGTATTCCTATTGGAAAGCTGTTCCAAACGTCACTACTCGGGCAGTTAGAAACCTTCATTTAATTTCTAACCTAAATAATTCATAGCTAGTTTATAACCATTTGTTCCTGTGCTAACATTGCCTTTTGGGTTAAATTGTTCTTCTCCCTGTGGGGTGTTTACTCCCGTGGCGTATTTTAAAAAGGGCAATCATATTCCCTCTCAGACTCCATTTTACAAGGCAAACAAATCAACCTCTTGTACAACAGCCTCTCCCAGTCTCAGACTGATCCCCTTGTGCGAGGGACAGAGCAAACAGATGAAAGCAACAGCCTTCTCCAGAGCTGCCTGATGACACGATGGACCAGCTGAACGTTCTCCTCTGCGAGGTGGAGGAGATGAGATACGGTTTACTGGCAATTACTAGTATATCTATCGTGATCTTTTTTTATTTTTCTCCTCCAACCTTCTGACTTTCCTCTTTTATTTCCTATGTTATACTGAAGTTGCTTTTGCTCTGATGGTACCCTAGCAGAGAAGAGCTCCACTGCTCCACAGTGTCCTTGCCTGCCTCTGTCCTGGCAGGGAGGAGTCACGACGCAAAGCACGAGGACTGCCTTCTCCAGAGACAGGGTAAAGGGACTGTCCCACCAAGATACGTCTTGAATGCCTCACCACAGAGGAGGAGAAAGGCTGCAAGAAAACAAAGCCTATCCGGCATGGAAATAAGCTTCCCACAATGCAAAAAAATACTGTGAACATCACATGTATTTGTATTTCAGTTAATTATTATCAAAAAGGAAGGTGCTCTAGGAAGGATTCAGTGTCTTTTCTTATTTTAACTATTAATGAAATATCCTACAGAATCTTAAAAGGAAAACACTACTCAAGCTGAGAAAGAGACTGTTACTCCTTACTCTGCCATATAGCTGCCTAACAGACAAAGCTTAATTCCTCATTGTGGTACAACACTGATTTGTTGATAGCAAGCACTGTTTTCTTAGACTTTCATGTGATTCTCCATTTTTTCCTTCCTTTAAATTTAGGACAGGACAGCTCAGAAAATAAATGGCTTGAAAACTGTCTTTCTCCTTGCCATGGAAATGATGATTCTTTCCTGAAAAGGGTACTCAGCTAAAAGGTCAGGTCTTCCCCTTCCTATCTGTCTTTCATGGACAAAACTCTGCTTTTGATGTAATGGATTATTTAGGATTTTGTAGGAAGGCCTGAGGGATCTGCTGAAATAGGTAAAATGATTATGAGTGGCAGCCCGTAATGTTGTACAGAAGTAAGAGAAACATTTTTGTGCTGTTTAAAAATAACAATAAAAAAAGAGACTAAAATGTAAGTTAGAAGCAGAACAGTGCATGATCCTGATGTTAACTGTAACATCCTCCAGAACATCTGAAATAACCTTGCATTATTGATACAACAGACCTCAATGGAAATTACTTATTTTCTTCCTACTTTAAATTTAAAAATAATGGACTGATTGGACCAAGCAGCTGAAAGCACAGATAGTGCATCTAGAGTTTGTTTTGTGAATTATTAACACAGCTCAAAGTTAAAAATTTAGCTTTGCTTAGAAATCTACTCTCCCATCTAGCTTGACTGCTGTTTTCAGTTTACATTATTTCTTAGACACTGCTGTGAAACTTCTTCTTAATTGGAGGCTATTGTGGGACTCGAAGATTTTTGTTTATTTGAAAAATATAGTACGGCTGAATTACCAGGACCTATTAATATACATACAGTAATGACACATAATCGCCCACAACTCCCTTGAGATGGCTCTGGCACAACAACCCCATTTCATTTTCATGAAATAAAAAGCATCCAATTACCTAAACAACCACCTATTTCACATTAACTACACACCAATAATCAGTCAATTGAGGGAATATTTATTTCTGCAGTACATCATGCCTCACATCCTCTTTGTCCTCTCTTTGTATACCTTCTTTTCTTCACTGTGGGTTTTATTCGTAGGTGTGGCGGTAGATTTACATCTCTCCAGAATTTCTTTGGTAAAACTGTTCAACATGTCTTCTATTTGTTCAACATGCTGTAAGCAATGATGTTGCTTAGTATTATGCTGCGTGAACTTGGGCCAGCAACCCAGCAGTATAGCCAGGCATATTTTTAAAGTGCTGCTGCAGAGCAATAAACAGACCCTCATACATATATTTTTTTTCCAAAAATGCAAGGAGCCCCATCTGTACTGTAAACGCGTATGTACATTTTTCACTATAATGCAATCTGTCCAAAGTTATCCTTATTATGTGTGTGGGACACTGTCTCCGGAGCAGGGCGAGCAGAGGCTTTCCAGGATAGGTTATGGATAACGTGCAGTACCCCACTGGGTTCCCTCGATTAATGCTCACTCCGCAAAAAGAAGCCTCAGGCACTGGGTCACAAAATGTTCCAGCAACTCCCAGGTGGCCAGTATTGAAAGATAAAGGCAGGCAGAGGCAATGCCTATATAAAACGCAGAGTTGGCACAAACACTTTCACATCCAACGCAGAGGTATTATGGAGAGCTCAAACTTCCTTTCTTTTCTCTGAAGAAATCTCAATTTTTAGCCCTCAAAGAGCCAAAAGAGCACGTTCCTCAAAGGTATGAACAGGATCTCAGGCACAGCACACGCTTCTGATTATTTCAGCAGCTGAAGGAGGCCGTACGCGATGTGAACGAAAGCGAGCTTTTGATTACCCGGTCTTTACCAGTGCTGCACCCTGTTGAACATTTTCAATGTAAAGATGCATGTCTACGGGTACCAATGAAAGGACAAGGAGAATCTGTACAAGTTACAATCTTGGGCATCGCTACAGAAACTCCTTTACCTCCCAAGCTTTCCTCATGGGGCACAAAGTAAAAGCAACTGCCGGAAATTTCCATCCATCACTAAAGTGTATGCCTAGGTCAGGAAAATAAGGAAGTAGCTGCAGTCCTTCAACTTTACTACAATACTTCCAGCTCCGGAAAACATCCCTTGCAATATACCATTAAAGTCAACAAGTCAAAGCAACCAAAAAATTGTTCCAGAAACATCGAAATTTTTCATTTTACCTACCTGCCACTGCACAAGGACAGATGAAGTCGTGTGGGGAGTTACTAACACAGAACTGGGTGGCTCACCTGGAACTAAAACGGAAAAAAAGGTAACCAAGGCAGTTCGAGCAACAGAGCGGATAACGGGCGGCCTATTCATCACATTCTCTTTCTTTGCTGCTGAAGAAAATCTTCTACCCCAGTTACTATGCGGTGGGTCTCCACAGCAATGTGGTGGATATGAAGACTGCAACCCAGGCAGAAGCCAGCCGGTTCTGGTACATCCCCTGCTCTACCTGTGGCCTTGGCAACTTGAGCAGGAATAAAAGAAAAGCTGAGGACGTAAATCTGGAGGAAGCTGCAGTGTGCCAGCCGTCCACAAACAACTGGGTACACATTTGAAAGGAAGTTAAACCAGCTGTGTGCACGCTTGAAAGTGTGAGCAAACTGCTCCCAAATTTTCCATGGTATTTTTGCCACAGCTGGGGCAAGCCCACCTTGTTTTTAGGAGTCTGTGTCACGTAGTCATAGATTATTTTAGTTAATGAGAGCTCAATTTACCATGGGTTAACCCGTTCCTGTGCCCATTGCACATACACACACACTACAGCAGCTCAAATACGAAGGAGGGAAGGCTTATCAGGAGCTGACAGGCCTCCACAGTGCAATGCTCTAGTGGCAGCACCAGGTTTGCTCAGCAGAATAAATGTTCAGTTTGTTAAGGAGGTGAGAAGCTTTCACAGTGTTTCCCCACTGTATTGTGAGGAGGCCAAGCACAGCTCTGGATTCACTGTAGCTAAATTCAAAGAGAATTGAAAATTAACTTTTAAATTCCGAGAGAGTGAGTCAGTGCTGCTTCATTAGTACCGGTTGCAGCCTGCACCGATCCAGCAGCTGCTGCTCAGGAAGGTGGAGATTCAGGATGTCTTTAAAAGGCTGTTAGGCACATTATTCGAGTTATTACGTGGGTTCTTGTTTTAACTTAGGATACTCCTGAGCTCTGTCCTCTGTTTTTCTGATTTCAAGATCATATTCTTTAAACATTCCTTTGCAAAGCTGTTTCCTATTTTTATATCTCAATGTCATATTTATCTAGTCATTCCTTGCGCTATATTAAATACTGGCTAATTCCTAGCACTGTGTGTACATATATATACACACACACCCCCCAGTACTCCCAGGCTAAGGGTAAATACCGAGGCTTTTTCACACTTTGCAGACTTCCTTTCTCCGTTCAAGACATCAGAGCTACTTCTGCATTCAGGCACTGACTTTATACAATCAAGGAATTAGAAGCTGATCCCTAAGGCTAAAAATAAAAGCCTTGTCAATGTCATTCACAGTTTATTAGCCCTGATCTGCAGGATTAAATGCTCATGTTTCCAGGAGCTTCATACTCTTTCTTACTTATACCTCAGCAATTTTGCCATATTGCAGACTGATGTGGATTGTGAGTGAAAACAATTGAAGAAACTTTTTCAAATGTATGCATGGTTCTACATTTATTTTTAATGATCTCTTGTAAATTATTCAATTTCTGCAAAGATAATGGTTAGTGCAGAGTTTGGAAGCCAATCAAACGGAGTTTAATTCCATTTTGAGACTCCTGAAAGTATGATTCATTATCAGAGGGCACAGCAGGACACTTAAGGCTGCCTGTTATTAATTCAGCCACATCTCATTACTACCTGTATCAATCTCCTATGAACAAAACTGCATTGGCTGTTGAATTTTCACTCCACAGTCCCAGTGGAGAACACACTGCAGCAGGTCCAGCAAACCCAGGAGCACAGGGGAGCGCCCATCCCACAGCGATGCCCCGGCGTGCCTCTCCTCCTCGCTTACCATCCTGCAGAGTTGTGACCGCCTCAGTCTCCACACTGAAGTCACTGTCTCCGATGTCGTTGGTTGCTTTCACTCGCAGTTTGTAAGAGGTGAACGGGTTCAAGCTGTGGAATGTAAAAGACAAGGCCGAGGGATGAAATGTCCCCACATCATCACAACTTGCCTCTGAACAAGCCTCTACAGACAACCTGCCCATTGGCAACCAAAGTCACCGAGCAGTTTTTGTCTCTTCTCCACATCGCCTTTTCTGTGCACCCTCCCCCAGCTTCCTGAGGACACGGGGGTGTTCGCATCCTTGCTGCCATCAGCATCTCCTCCGATTTCCATTGGCCTGAGTTCTTGAAAACAAACATGGATTCATAGCTGTATCAAGCTCCAGGAAACAGCCATGAAGTTGCGGTTCACGGAGCAGCCTATGACTGGGGCTTGGAACGGAGAAGATGTGCTGCTATTCGAGTTCTGCGTGGCCGTGCAAAACCTGGCTTTCAAGGTTGCTTGGCCTGAGATGGCCTCAAACCAGATCTGGGGGTCAGCTCATCCTCGCTGCACGGATGGGGATGACAGGCAGAGAGGGGGCAGGTAACGTGCCCAGGGTCAGCCAGTGCGCAGCAGGCACTGGAATTCAGAGCCCCAGCCTTCTGACTAATCCTCTAGACCGTACTGTTTGATCAATGTCTTTTATTCCTACTGAATTTCAAATTAATGCTATTACCTGGATTATTTAATAAAGACAATAACAACAGGTTCCCTGCAGCTCTTTTATCTACGCAGTGCTTTAAGATATGCAAAGAGTGATTTCCAGCTGACATAACCTTCACAAAGATTCTTCTGGCTTGGCTTGGCAGGGAGAAGGCGTGGGGGAAGCTGCCTTTTGAGTCACATGCAGAGGCTACAAATGCAGAGCTGTAAGTTATGGGGGATTTAGCTAATTAATTGGTAGTGTCTAGCCATCAGCTGGCAGATGTAACACTGCCTACAAACCCAAGTAAAGTTACTTGTAAGGAATGATTAAACATCAAGGGATAATGCATTCTGATGGGCAGCACTCGCATCACGCATGTACTACTCTTCCGGACTTTCACAGGAAAATGCTTTTAGCAAGGGGGAGAAGAAATCTTTTCTAGCAGTGCCACCCTATTAGGAGTCCATTACTTACCTACTGCAACTGGAATAATTTGAATCATCTTTCTTGATCTTTTGTTTGTAGTAATGCCAATGTCAAGTCTAAATGACATAGTTGGTTTCCTTGATTTTACAGTTTTTTGCTGGAAAGATACTGGGTAGAATTTGAGGTGGGTATAACAGCTCTGAAGTCAACAAATCAGGTCTATATTTATACTATAATTGTCAAGTTTTCTTCTTCTGCACAAAAGGATAGCACTGTATCTGTATCTTCTGGCACATGACCAGTGAACTGCCATATACCATAGCCACTGATGTTTTTATAACAGACCTGACAAATCTGCCTCTGCATGCTTCAGATACTTGATTCTCCAAAAGCCCATGGCCTTTTCGAAATAATCTGAGTTGTACTAGCTAGTCAATAGAGGAAATGGATAGCAAAACAAGTACCTTCTCATAGACATTCAATTGCTTTTGCAGATGTTACAAGGACTTTAATTACAACAGCATTGCTGAGGATATAATGAAGCCTGAATAACAAAGTTTAAACATTCCGATGCTATCTATACACTTCAGTATGGAAAATACAGATAAAAATGGTTCCCATTTCATCTGGAAAAGCTTATATAGAGATAATTGCAATGCAGCATTAAGAGTGGATTGTAACATCAGTCACTACTGAAAGGATTTTTAACTAGTTGTATTTTACAGAGCATTGTGTAGCTACATAGGGTTTAGGCTGAGTAGTGTTATCTACCGTGCTGAGCTTTCAGGAAGGACTTCAAAAAAGACGCATTGCAATCCAACTTTAATTAGATTTATTGCATGACTTTCAGCAAATCTCTCAACCGCTGTTCATAATACCACCTCTAAAATGGGAGCAGTGACCTCACTTAACCTCTCTCCCCCAAAAAGACTGTGAAGCTGAGTGATGCTTGCTTTGGCTTCCTAACTGTTGGAAGTGGAAACCATGGGAATTTCTATGCTAGCCTGGGATCATTTGGTACCTCTCAATAATGCAGGATGTTGCCTCGTGGCTGATGGAAGAGGAGTAGGTTTGCCAGTCTCCGTTTGGCAGTTCTCGCACTTGCACTGTGAAATATCGTATTGGTGAAGACCCGTCACTTCCAGGGACCCACTTCAACAGCAAACTCCGTGACGACACATCACTCTGGGGGGTCATCAGCTGTCTGGGAGGTGCTGGCCGTTCTGCAATTAAACCATAATTTGGTAGTGCTTTGAGACAAAATTCAAGATAACATAAAATGTGACAGCCTGATTGGAATTTCATAGTGGTAATGCCACAGGAGATTGAACTTTTGGATTTGCCCCATGAAGTATACAAGCCATCCCATTCCCTAACCTTCTACTGCAAAAAGCAGCAGTAAAACTGATTCTTATCTCCCTGCATAAAAGGTCACCACTGAATATACACTTTCCTAGCAACAGACCTCAAACTTGACAGGGTCTTGGCCTGGTGGGTCAAGCAAGAATCACGAGGACCAGCAGCCAAGCAAACCAAGGAAGTCTTTAATGAAACTCAGCTGTGCTTCCAGTGGCAATGGCTCTTTTGACAGAATTTGCCTGTGAACTAGCTCATTTTTTAACCTGTGCTTACTACTTGGGACCACAGGACTATGTTCTCTCTGTGCTCTGATAGCATCCTCTTCCACCAGCTGCTCCCCAGTCGAGGCACGAAGAAGAGGAAGGGATGAAGCTGGAGCAGGCTGGTGTGCAGCAGAGTCCAAGCGCACGACTTACAGCCAGTACTGAATTCCTGCACCAGCTCTCTCTGGCAAGGAACCGGGAACCATCAGCAGCTCCTGCTGCTGCTTCCAAAGCCCAGCTTGGAGACAGTGCAGCGCTGGCGCTGAGTACCTGCGGCAGTTCACTTCCAGACCTCCCCTCTTCTTCCCTTCATACCCGTTAACCTTGAACCTGCAAAGTCAAACCAGCCAGTGGCAACGCTGAGGGAGATCTCTCCAGAGTAATTAACCGTACACCTTTTAGATGAGGCAGGGGATGGTAATGCAGGTGTAAGCATGCCAGTCCCCAACAGTTTCAATATAGATCTCCTTTCCCGTCACTGTGTCTCCGCACTCCATCGATTTCAATAGAGAAACTCTATAGAGTGAGGAATAATTGTTTAATTGTTTATCATGAAGATTATTGATTCTGATTAAAATGTGTGGCATGTAATAAAGCAGAAATTGATTGGAGACACTGCAGTGACTTGCTTTTGAGAAGCAATTCAATTCAACTTCATCAGCACTTGTTTCCATAAACACACCTCTGCCTGCCCGATTCTGCACAGCTCCGCATGGCGAGCACTTCATTTCCCTGCCATCCCCTAAAACCATTTCCTGTACGTTTTGGCATTTCTCTGCAGCATGCTCTTGCTGACATCAGTGCCCAAAGATTTGTAAGCTATTAGCTGGAGGAAGCCCTGGGTGCCAGCAGCCTGCGAGCTGGAGTACAATGCAAAAGGTCAATGCCTTACACTGACAGGCTGAGACAGGTATTCAGGGTTATTCTATCAGAGGAAGCGAGTGTCATGCAGGGATTTAATACTCTCTGCTGATAAGCTTTAACCAGCTCACAGTTTTGGGCAGGTCAGATCTTGCAGTCAGTCTCCCATGATTGGGTTCCCTTCTGCTGCTAATGGGAAATCTTAAAATCTCCTGTATTACAAGATATACTTCCTGACTGTTTGTACAAAACTGTTAGTATAAAGAGTTTATTTATGGGAGTTTAGCCACAAGCAAATGCTAAGGTGAGCTGTCTGTGCAGAAATGTAAGGCCAGGCCATTATGACTCAATGGACTACTATTAATTCCTGGCTACATTTACATTTTCTGACTCTGTTCTGCCCTGATCACTGGTGTTGACTATTCTGAAGGGTGTCACACCACTATCTAGATTCAAAGCACTACCTAAGAACCTCTGGAGAACACAGCTGCAATACAACTTGGGATCTGTAAATCACAGGATTTATATTGGGATTAACAAGGAATTTACAAGGACAAGAGTGACCGATTTTGCTAATTTTCAAGGGATTTTTTTGTGCCTGCTGCCTACCTTAGTATCAAGGATGAGATTTTTATTAATGGAAATTAAATATCTTTTTACCCTGGAGTATTTATTGTCATGTATACAAGTTTCAGGTTTGTTTGTTTACTTGTTAGCAGAATAGCTGCACTGGACAAAAATCTATCATCCCCTCATATCAATCTTGCTGATGTGAGATTACACATTTTTCTCTCTGCATTTTACATATGGGATCACTTCAGCTAACTCTCACAGTGCCTTGGGACTCGGTTCCATAGCACGCGTAGAGACACAGCAGAGCCATCCATCAAAAAGAGAAAGGGTTCATTTTACACTGTGACTTGCCTATTCAAGATAACCCTAAAGCATTGATAGCAACGAGGGATCATTGTTCCTGCAGCGGAGCTGGGAGTTCTGCCTTGAGCTATTGTGTATCCAGCAACAGCCTGTGCACAGGCTGGGAAATCCGAGCTCATTTTATTGAAAAGGAGAGGCTCTGAGCTTTGAGTATTCACTTTATTGGGTTTTTTTGAAAATTCCACATATTGGACTTTAAACTTCCACTTTGACAGCAATCAGACAGGGGTGGAAGAAACCTTGAGCTGATAAATCTCTTTGATGGACAGTATCTTTAGTAGAGGCACTTTAGGTTTCCTAATACAGCCCTAGAGGTTCTTACTCCGAGGACTGCACCGTTATGCACTCGGGAGGCTGCACATGACCTGGAGAACTATGCCAGTGGGAATTTTAACACCAACCAGGCAGGCCAGAAGTAGTTGAAATGCACCCCACCAGTCCTCGCTGCTGGTTGTTTCACATCGGGCCAACGTCCTCTCTTCTTAGAATTGTTACAGGAAAATAATAAGGAAGACATTGTGGGCAAATAACATGGCAGATCCTTGCTCCTGCACTAAATGATTCGCAAGGTGTAGAAAGGACTTAAAAGGAGAGGTTGCTTAGCAGGCACATTTTAAGAACTAAAAGTAAATATAATTGGTTGTATTATAGTGCAAGACTTGGGCAAGAACCAAGACCAGGCTTGCGCTAACAGTTTTGAAAGATGTCTGTGGAGGTCTGCCCTAGTTACCTGAAGCGTGCTTCTCTCTGAACCGTGGTTTTTTATAAATCACAGAAGTTGCATGGTTCTAAATTTTGAGGGAGAAGTTTTCTTAAAGATCAGTAACCAGACAGCACAATGGGTCAGAGCGGCAGGTGGCACAAAATCCAGTGATGCACAAGGGCGCGATGCTGGTAAAGACACCCTGGCTAGTTCTGACTTCGCCAGCTCAAGAGACCAGATAGATGCTCTGCAGTGGGACAGGGCATACGGTCCAAGACCAGAGGAAAATCCACACTTCCGTTCTCTACCAATATATTCTCTTTTAGCTCTGAATTAAACAAAAATAAAATCTTCATGCACAAGTAGAAAATGTGATTTTTCTAACTGGTAGCTCTAGAGATCTGTTCCAAGAGGGGAGAATCGAGCAGTTACTGAGCCAAAGCATTGGAAACAAGCAATGATGCAGAGCAAATTCTGTAATACCTTATGTGTCTTTCACATTTTGATATGTTCAGTATCTAAGCATCTGGTTTCATTTATACACATGTAACTCCTGCTTTCTTCAAGTAGGTTCCCTACAGAACAGAATTTGAATGGGGATTCAGAATGCAAACAACCGTTTTATGGCTGATGCAAGAAGCAGAAAAACTCTGGGCAATCCAGATGCAAACACTCTGCTCGAGTGTGCAGCAGTGAAAGGCCAGAGTAATTACTAACACATTAGGTCAGGACTGAGGTACAACGGAGGAGCCGTGTGGAGAAATCCTGCAACATCACCACCGCCTCTCATTTTGCGTTCCCTAATCAATATAATTCATCCATCACTTTCTTTCTTAAGATTGCAAACTTTCTAGAAAACAAGAGCGCTGAAAAAAAGATCAGACTGCAGAAGGAGGCTGCATATGGCCGATATAGCAGTTGATGGAAAAATCAATCTCCAACAGCCCGGCAGATTAGAAGAACTGTGTCTCATAAAAGTCTGTCTTGCTCACCAGGTTTCTCAAATCATGATGTTGCTATGGTTTGGGGCAGGTTTATGGGGTGAGAAGGAGGAGGTGTACAGGCTGTAGCCTGTTATTAAAATTCCCCTTAGTGCAGCACAGACTCCAAGGCATGCAACAGAAAGTACCTCAACCTGTGGCTGCAAGCATTACCTCTTTTTTCTGTTGTGATCACTGTGGCTTCCAGAGGCTCCCCCCAGCCCTGCCTGGTTTTGGCAGATGTCCGAAAGATGTATGCTGACTCAGGGGTGAGATCTGTAGCAGTGAACTGCCTGACTGTTGAGCCAACCTCCACCGTCGTGAACTTGTTAGGGCTGCTGCTGGCCAGACGGTAGGCAATCTGATAACCTGGAATCACAGCATCAGCAAGAGGGGGAGAGGGAACAAAGGTTAGGAGTTTTTCCTACCGGGGACAAAAGAGCACCAAAACTATTAGTTTATCATAATTATTTGTTTATCTGAGACAAAAACAAAGTAATTTGCTTCCTTTAGTGCTGTAAAGCTCTGCTGTATGAGAGCCCTCCCCCAGTGAGGTGCCGTACCTTACGAGGGAAATCACACACGGTGGCACACACAAGGGATCTACTGAGTATTATGGGTCATTAAACTGATTTCACTTTTCATTTTTTATACCAACAATATACGAACCCAGTTTAATCTTTCCTGAGCATATTGGTACCTTTTTGGAAAGGCAAAGGAACAGAGTCCGTGCAGTTAACGTCACCTGGTAGAGCCAGTTCAAGACAACACACTGTTTCAGCTTTCCACCCGCGCATACACACACGCACACGTATGCACACACGCTGTTTGGCCCCCTCTCAGTTTCAGCATTGGCTCAAACTAAAGGTTTTTCAGCTGCAGAGCTGCTGGATTGCCCAAACCCTGCAGCCTTCATACCGCCCAAAGGCGTTGCTCCTGCTTTTTGCACTCGCCTTTTTCTCAGCTCTCCCACTCCCCTGTAACTGTACAGCGAGTGCCAGAACCGCCAATAAAAGCATCCTTCCTCTGTAATTCAACGTTGCTGCCCTTGCCCACTGCCCAAGGAAGAAGCCGGCAAGCTGTGAGGTCCTGCGTCAACCATGCGGCACTTAATAATCAATTTTGTTGATGCCTGTAAGTGATAACCCCCATTCCAACCTGCCTGACAATTAGGAGTTCACAGTTTAGCCTGTATTATTAATGATCCAACTGTGCAAAGGAGGGCTTCCAGAGTTCTCACGCACCACTAGCAACAACTGTCCCCTGAAGAGGATCTGCCAAATGTTCAAATCCATTCTGAAAACCCAGCAATTGAATCAGGCTCTCACTTCTGGAGCTCGACGGCAACTTTCAGTCCAGCTGCTGACTTCCAAAATCAATTAATACCAGAACCGGTGTGGGGCTTTACTGCCCAAACTGAAGAGCTGCATGATTAAACGCTTCATGGAGTTACACAGGGCAGAGGGCAGCCAACAAATCCAAATCAAAATCAAACCAGCTGAAAATAAAACAGTCATGACATGATTCTGCCAACCCTCTGCTCATCTTCCGAATGACAAAGGGGTCCACAGCACCTGAGACCATCTCGTTCTCTTGGAATTAATATCCCAGCTAGAGTTTGAACTCCCACCACATTTTGGCTCTAACAAGAACAAGGGGAGCCAAACCTGGCATGCTTCATTTGTGAAGGTCGGTGCATGAAAACTGAGGTTTTTATCTTACCTGTGGCTATTAGACAAAATCAATGACATTTATTTCCCACTGTGAATATGCAACAATTGCCACATGTCCACTCACAGAAAAGGCACAAGCAGAGTTCCTGCACTCTCCTGAATGAACGCCACACTTGTGTGTGGTGCACGCTGTCACAAACACTGGAATTTAATTGGGATACAGATGGTATTAATTTTGGTGTGCTGACTCTCACAGTGCTGTTGACGATGCACCAGCATCCCCTTGTCCTTTTTTCTACAGCAGCTGCTAGGGGATGTGCGGCAACAGCCATAGCAGCCTCACATGGAACAAAACTGATTGCACAGACACCTCGAAGAGTCACTTGGCTTCTCTGAGCACCCGTGGCTTCGGTCTGAGCTCCTGCACGCCGTGCTTACAAACAGGTTTGGGTACAGACCTGATTCACTCAAATACCTTAACACGGTCTGGGTACCCACGTCTGAAAACGGGCATCGGCAGCGAAAGGGTCCCCACACCCGAACAGGCTCAACTCCTGCTGCCTGGGGCACCCTCACACACCGCGACGGTCGGTCTGTCAGGCATATTCCGGCAGAAGCGTTTTCACAGCTGGGCAGACAGCATTAGACTGCGAGATGAAAACTGGCCCGATTTTTTAGAGCTCCTGAGCATGCTTCCATCCCAGCAAATTTTGTTTTTTCAACCTGCAGACTACCTCCTTTCATCCACAGCACCAGCTCTCCCGTTACTGGTCCAATATATTTCACCAAATTATTTCTGTACCTTTAATATAAAGTCCACAGAAAGACAGATAACAATGAGGAGAAAGAACAGATATACTACAATCTTTTTTGTTTATACAGATGTGAAGAATGCAAGAGTGAAAACCCCAGTGCAGGATCTCAATAAAGGGGGAAAATAATCAAAGCAAAGTACTGGGGAATTTTTTACAGCAGCAGAAAAGATGAAGGAAGAAGCAACTAAGATGGCTAAGGAAGTTTGATAAAGGGACATAAGACGTGAAGAATAAGACCTGAAGGGAAACAGAGAATATTAAAAGAATGGAAAAGTTGATTTATCCAGTTATTAAAAGATAAGTATGATATCTGGGACATATCCTTGTTGAACAATTTCCCCTCTTTTCTAAACCTTTGTAAAATATAAAGTGTAGTTAAAATGTAAGGAGGGAATAGAAAGATAACTATTTACTGCTAAATGGTGGTACTCATGCTGGAAAGCCAATTACAAACATGCTCAGATTAGGCAAAGGAACACATACATATCTAGGCCATTACAATAACTTACAGAAGAGTGGATTCTTGGCAAGTGTAAAAACTAATTTAGCCATGAGAAAGAAGAAATCACTTGTCACAGCCTGCTTCTCTGACAGGCTCTGCAAACTCCCTTTCAATGCATCCCGGAGAAAAACAGTATCAGCTCTCACCGTCCTCTCCTACATCTGTCGTGTTGGCTGACAGTCTGGGTAAATATCTGTTTTCCTGGGTATCTCCGGCAGAGTTTACACAATCAGAGCCGTCACCTTTACATATTTCCTCAGAAACTCTACCTTTCCCTCAGTCTGATTCAAAGGTACACATCCAAAGGTACATTATTGCTACCTACAAACCACTTGAGATACACCCAGTATCTTAATTTTGATCCCTGACATCACCTCCTCCTATTAGACAGTTTGGGACAGGCAGGATACATGCTGATGTAAAAAGCATCGCTTTTCTTTTTTCTCAGTGACACAGAAGACCAGTATTTAAACCACAGCTTGGATAATAATTAGGGCTAACACAAGATCAAAAAAGATAAAATTATTAAGTTGATGAATTTCAGCAACAAGGGATGGGAGAAGACAGGAAATGCTAAGTGAAATCAAACGAGGCAAATCAATAGAGGTAAATGGAAAGTGTTCAAAAAAAATTAATGTATGCTCCAGGGCTGTAAGAGGCAATAACTGCAATTGCTGCAGTGGAGAAATAAGGAAGCTTCCTTCCCTTACTAGATTATGACAATAAGATGTTGCAGATACCTTAGATTAAAAAAAAAAATAAAAAATTTTAAAAAAATCAAAGGTTATGAATGAAAGTAAAATCTTTAAAAGGTGATCAGAGCAATCTTTTTGCGGAAAGAAATATCTTACAGAATATGAAGTATCTGGATGGTCAATAAGAATTCATACTGTTTTCTTAATTATTTTTTTTTTTTTTGCTCCCCATATAGCATTAGATCCCAAATCTCTTCTGCTATTGGGAGTTCTGCGCTTCACCAGGCCAAAACAGCATTTAAAAAAAAAAAAAAAGCCCCGAAAGATCAATTCTTCAGGAGTTTATTTATTCATTGAAACTAGGCTTATTTTTGCATTAGCATCTTTTTAAGTATTTTTTGCACAACTGCAAGCAGTTTCATGAGCTACGCTTTCTGAACTCAATAAATGGCACCAGTCTGAACTGCCTGTGAAATGTTAGGTCACTGCAACACAACCAGTGGATTCCCCAAAGCAAACAGGCAGGAAGATGACAACACACCATGAATATAAACAAGCTTTCCAGCTCATCACCATACAAAGCCCTTCAGAACTGACAGCACCCGTTCATGCAGGCCATGGTGCAGCAGAGATACAAACACTTATTAATTTGTCACAGAACTTAGGGAAAGCCAAATGATATTGGGAGGTTACGGTCTGCCTGGTGGAGCAGCAATCCAGTTTGTTGATTTTACTGCTTATCTGTTTAAGGGCCAGCGGGTGTGCAAATGCAGTCTGGGATCAAAATATGAATTTGCAAACATGGATTACATCCAATTTTGGTTCTAATTCTCAGTGGAGTTCTTATACTCTTTTGCAATAAGCTTCAGGTAAATGCTAAATACAAGAATACGAAGAGGAATACTGACCAGGGCCTGGAAGGATGCTGGCTGCGCTCTCGTTTCTAGCTCATAGCTAGAAGTGCACATATCCACATTAATGCATCATTTTTCTTTAATAGCATTTGAAGGAACTGTGTTGGGTGCTAGCTGAACTAAGCGTAGAAAAGACGATGCAGCGAAGCCTCAGACGGCTAGTGTAACATTCCCAAAAGGAGAAATGGAAGTATCTAGCAGTCTTTCACAGTAAAATATTTAAACAAACAAACAAACGGTTTTCCCTCTTGGTGCCTGCCAGTGTTTCATCCTTCTAATCTCTCTCTGAAATGCTAGAACATGTTTTGATATAGATTACAAAAATGTTAGCTGCAAAGGTGCTTGTATACTCAGAGGACAAAGCTAGCAGAGCAGGAACATTAGTTCAAAGGCTCTGAATATAAGTTGCTCTTGCAAAGCGAGTATTTTTTCTTTCCAACCTCACCAGTGAATAAAGGGCACCGCACAAAATTATGTTAACTTATCTTTTCCAACAATTCTACTTCAGTGCACTTGACTGTGGTGGATACAATGGTGTTTTGAAAGTTCATTACAGTAATGAGATTTAAAAGGTGTGCAGGAAAAACCCCACAACTTGCAACCTTTACTTAGAACGTTACACCTTGGGTTTTATCTATTTTTGAAGCACCCCTTACTTCTTAGGAAAGATCACAGAAGCACCCAGCATGAGTAATTTTTACTTTTTCTCTCTGACATTGGCAGATAACTACTTCCTCCATGAACCTCAATGTTTCTACTGGGGGGGGGGGTTTTACATTCGGTGTGTTCTGAGAACACATAGGGGGGGGGGGGGAGAGAAAAAAAAGAAAAAAAAAGAAAAAAGAAAAAAAGAAAGAGTGAGAACTGTCGAATAAAGACAATGGATTTCAAAGTGGTGAACTGGGGGAACTGGCAGGTAACGTCCCCCGGGAAGAAATTCTAAGGGAAAAAAGAATTCAGGTTAGCTGACGGTTTTAAAAGGGACAAAGAAAAGGTACAACTATCCCAATGCAGACAAAGGATGTTAAGAGGCCAATATGTTTGCATTCAGAGCTCACTAATGACCTGAAAATCAAACCTGAATTGGACAAAAGTTGAAACAGGACACATGTCTAAGGGAGCATATAAATAGACAGCACAAGCAGGCAGGGACAAAATCAGAACGGCTAAAACGCAAAGTGAGTTAGAACTTAAAGGGCATCAAAGGCAACGAGAAAAATTTTATAAATACAAACTTTATAAATTGGAGAGACAGAAGGAGGACAGGTCAACTACTGGGAAAAAAGGATGAGCACAAGACAGTTGAGAGAAAAGAAAGGAAGGCTGATACCTCTGTTGCTTCATTTTCACACACACAAAAAAGTTGATGCTGATGAGATACTTCACACAAATTAAAATTGACAACAATATAAGTAGGAATGTAGGCTAGAATAAAGAAGAGGTTAACGAATATTTAGTTAAGCTAGATGTAATCAAGTCAGAAAGGCCTGATGAAATTTGCCCTGCAGTGCTTATATAAGTAGCTGGAGCCATCTCCGAATAATTAGTGATTATCTTCAAGAACTTGTGGAGGACAGGTGACATCCCAGAATATTACAGAAAGGCAAACAGAGTACCCTATCTTTTAAAATGGGGAAAGAAAAACCAGAGAAATTATGGACAAATCAAGCTAAAGTTCAATACCTAGAAAGATCCTGGAAAAAAAATACGAGTCAATATATAAGCATTCATAAGGATAATAAAGTGCCAAGAAACAGCCAATATGTATTTGTCTGGAGCAAATAATAAATATCAAATAATCTATTTTCCATTTTGACCGTGTAATTGGCCAGGTGGGAAGAGTAGATATGATCCACATTGACTTTAAGTAAGGCTTTAATATGGCTGCACAAAGCCTTGAAAAAAACAAACAAGAGAAAGAGAATCTAAGAAAAATACTAGACATTTTGATTTGAATGCTTTTTTTTTAAAAAAAAAAGTCAAACATTGTTATCAGTAGTTTGCTAACAAATTGGGAGAACATATTAAGTTAGGTCTTGTCAGAATAAGTCATGAGTCTGGTTCTGTTCAATATTTTCATTAATGACCTGGCTGATGGAATTGCCAGTCTACTTGCAAACTTGAAAAATAAAACCAAATTGTGAGTGGCTGCGAGCCCTTTAGAGCACAACAGTGTCATTTAAAGTGATCTTGATAATGAGGAGAGATGGTCTGGAATCAGTAAGATGAAATTCAATAAAGGCACCTGTGAATTATCACACTTACAAAGAAAAAGCTTAATGTACATAAAAGAGGGACTGACTGATCTGGAATTGTTCTGCAGAAAAAGCGCAGGAATGAATAGTGGGTCATAGACTTAGTTACAACATCAGTGTTGCAAAAAAGCCAAGTCAGGACAGCATCAAGCGTCCTGGGATGCGAATGGACTATGCAAGACATCAGAGACAACAGTCAACGTGCCAATCACGCTAAGCATTCTTTACAGGACACCCTTCCCCTCTCCTTCCAACCCTGCATTCGTATGATTTTATCATCAACATAGCAGCAATGAGTAAGAACCAACTGAGAAGGGGATGCATTGCACACAGCGCTCCGCAAAGACAAAATAAAAGAGAGTTCCTACTCCACCGAGCTTGCAACTTCAGCAAATAATAAGGCTGACAAAGTGCAGCAACGTGAGACATTGGAACACAGTCGGGAGAACAAAATCTTTTTTGTACTTTCTCATCATTTCTATTGAATGATTTTTTTTTCTTCTTAACCACATCCTGTGATTCAAATCCCAGTCTCTACTGAGAGCAAGTTCTAGGACACAAAGTTCCTTAAAAAAAAGCAACAAATCAAACCCAAAAGACAAGCTTCCTTGAGCTGCAGAGAAACCCTGCGTGGATCTGTCTCTGACAGCTAACTGCTGCCAAGCTTCACGCAGACTCTTTCTCCTGCTCAGAAAATCCCTGCAGCGTCTGCCTTCGGATCCCATTTGATGATTTCCCTGCATCTTCAGGCGTCAGGATCACTTTGGGAAACTACACACCTTAGCAAACACTTTGAGTTCTTGACCCAAGATTTAAACACAACGCAAGACCAATTCTTTATTTAAAGACATGCCACCAACGCAGTAGCATTTGAAGTAGGCACCCTCCACCCAGTGAAGGCTTTAGGAAATATTGCTAAAAGACTACTACGCAAGCCTGAACAATGGCAGTGAAATTAGAAGCAGAAAGGCCTGGCAGACTGAAAGCTAAACAAAACCCAAAAGCTTTTGCTTCTGTGTTCAGAATTGAGAGACATATCTTTCCTCACCAGCTAGAACTAGTACTAGAACCAGTAAAACACGATTAACATCAGCAGAGGACACAAAATTGCTGGGCAGCTATGAGCTACTTTAACTTTGGAGGCAAGAATGGATTCTTACATTGTAAAAGTCTTCACGTTTGAAGTCTAAGTAGTGGCTGTGTACATATTGCAAAGGCAACCCAAGAGTTATGAAAACAGGAAGGTAGGAAGGTTTTTCACAAATTCCTGTTGTGCCTTGCTGCCTCTATTTCCCTTGCTGAAAAGCCAAATATAAGTTAACTCCTTGTGACCTGTCAGACAGCCTTATCCAAAGGAAGCAATAAAATGGAAGCACACATGAAACTGAAATGTTTCTTATACGTGGTTTCTAATCAGATGTGCAAGAGGAAGGAAAACCCAACAGCCAGAGCTCGCTCTGGTCTCCAGCCCTCTCCTCCCAGCTCTGGGTTTGCTGCTCCCTCTTACCTAGAATAATTCCATTGGGCTCCTCTGGCGGCTGCCAAACAATCCGTACGGACGTCAGCCTCACCTCGGGGAACACCAGCCTCACAGGCGGCCCAGGAGCTGGAAAGAAAAACAGACATCACGCTAGCAGAGGAATTACAGTTTTCTGCTCCCCTTGCATAGAAGGCAGTCCAAGACGTATCTCACCAATAATAAATAGATGGTTAGGAGTGCCTACGCATGTACATAATATCCATATACATATTCTGAGGAATCCTGTCCACGGCCAAATGCCTCCAGCACCCACGGGCACCACACGACAAAGAACCAGTGCACCCTGCAGTGTTTTACCAAACCTGTGAAACGTGTGTAGCAGGACACTCTGGCAAAGGAGCTCTGACCTCTGCTAGAGTCATCGCCCAGCAGCGGGGAGCCCCTGCGAGCCGGCCGCATCACCGCTAGATAACTGATTACATGCTACGAAACAGGTCACCGAGCTGCCTTTACAGAGAGTTATGTGTCGGCTTAATCTGTTTCATACCTGTTGGAATTGAACAATATCTCCTCTCTGTCTCATCAGCACCTGCTTTGAACTGCCTTCTGATTTTACATGTGCATTTTAAACACCTAGGTCTGAGCCGGAGAACCTGAGGCAGGTGAGATGCACATTAATAGAGATGGCTGGTGGCTGCACTGACCATCCCAGGTTCACAAGGTGAGGAGATGCTAATTCATGCATTAGCATCTGCAAAATTTCCCCTTCAGCACAAATTTCACCTGCATTACCCCTGATGATACTTTTAATTAAGTTGAGCCCAGAGGAGACACAATATATTTGCGTCAGGGGTATGGAGATGGAAGAACAATTTGTATCATTTGCCAACATTCACTTAAGGAGGGAACTGCTATAATGGGGTTATCTAAAACAAACAGTTTTAAATATTTCTCATTATAGTCCAATATGTACATTTCAGTGAGTGCTTTTTCTCTCCCTGCAGAGTTCTGCTAACAGCAATTTCTCTTTGTTGCCTTTCAAAGAAAAGCCAAGTCCCCACAAAGACAATGTGCTCAGAAAATGGCTAAAAGGATGCCAGGGAGCTGCTGTCCCTGTTCCCATCCCCGTCCCCACATGCTCTTACGCCTTCCCTGCACTCCATGCAAAAAGTCAAGCCAGAAGTCTGAAGGTGCTTTCAGCCCAACCAAATTGCCGTAACGAAGTTGCTTGTAGAAACCAATGTTTATTCCATTACTATTGAAAAGATTTTGATGAAAAAGGAGAGACTTTTGTTTTTCATCTCCATTGGGAGTAATAAAAAGAAGCCTCTCACAGTGATACTAACCTTCGTTTAATACTGAAAAGGTAATGAAACTAAAAGTAACTTTAGCATCTGCAAAGTATTTAAAGGGTTAAACTCAATTTCTGTAAAACTCCACCAGCAGGAAGGCTCCCACCACACCGAGGGGTTCAGCCAGCACCGGGTGAGGGGCTCACCTGGGTTCCCTCAACACGTCAAACTGCGCTTGGGAATCCCTGAGCTCATGGGAAGAGCTGGGGGCAGCTGCAAAAGGAAGCTGGTCTGATCATCTTCCAGGGTCAATGCCTTACTCGTTTGGGAAAAAAACCTGACAATGGATTACTGAAGTTGCAAATTCTGTTTCTCTCTTTCAGTCCAATCTGACTTAGATTTGTTTACTGCTTTCAATTGCAGTAATCTACTTTTTTTTTTTCTAACAGCATGATTGAACTTCAATAGGAATTTATAATTGGACTCTAAAAATTGTCTTCATAGAAATTGTCTACATTGAGCTTCAGAGTACAATTTTAGATTATTTTTTCCTCCATCAGTTGCAGAGAAAGAAGAAATGGGGGACTCTGGTTTTCTGTAGTTTTTCCAAATCTTTAGCCCTCGATGAATGGAATAGTGCTGAGTTATGCTAGGTAGGGATCAAGTCCTTCAGGTTCAAAGTTGAAAAAAAAATATTAAAATCCAAATAGCATTAATTTGGGCCGTTGTCTACACTTGCATCGCTAAAAGAAAGCTGTGTTAAAAGGTTGGATCAAATAAGATACTTATTTTGGCAGTCTGTAAACTTACCGTCATCCTTGGTTCTTTCTATAACTGCAGGAGAGCTGGCGACTCCATCGCCGATACGAGTGAACGCCAATACCTGGATCTCATAGAGCACGTATTTCCGCAAGCCAGACAGCAGGAAAGACTGAGTGTGGTTACCTCTTACTATTTGGCTCTTTGGTTCAGAGTCTAAATCTTTTGCTTTGAAAAGTATCTGCAGAATAAATGTACATGAAATATAGAAAGAAAAAGATTGTTACATGAGGACTGAAAAAAGGGGTATGCATTTTAGATTCCTCCTTTTCACAAAATATAAAATGAGATTAAAAAGAGGTATGCATTTTAGATTCCTCCTTTTCACAAAATATAAAATGAGATTATATTCACCAATCACTCCTTTCAAAACCAGCAGGCTTCCTATATCTTCTCCAGCTGCCTTCGGAATAAGTATCCAGCAGGTGAATAATACATAACACACGCAAAACTATATCCAGGTAATGCATTAAAAATTAAGTAATGAATTAAAACGAAACTCCCATTGCATACCTTGTAACCCAGGACGAGACCATTCTGCTCGGACTCGGGGACTGCGGTCCATGTCAGAAGGATCTGGGTCGAACTCACGGCTTCAGCAGAGACATTCTCAGGAGGAGCAGAGGGAACTAGAATCACACGGCATCACCAAAAAGCAGAAATAGGTAAAACATACTAGATCGTTTTGCTCCATCTCCCTATCTGCTTGGGACTGTTCCAGGATCCCTCAGAAGAGTATTCAAATGCAAAAGGACTGGAATACATTCTAGACAATCCTTTCTTCTCTTGTATTCATTCTACATCATCTTTACGTTTCAGCCTGCTTCACAATTCCTTACCAGTTCATCTTAGAAATCACATTGGTTGTAAAGAGCTAAACACTTAATACTCATCAGTGTCTGCAGACAGACAGGAAATACAGACACGAATAAACTTCAGGTTCTATACATTTGCAGTAATTAGAATCACGTTTCAGTTGCTGGACTTCTGTAGAAGTCTATCTCATAGTATTTCTTTCCCATACGTTTTCCTTCCCTATGCCAAAAGCTAGAAATCTTTATGAATGGGAGTTTATCTTCTGGTACAATCTGTTCTCACAAGACGTTTTATGCCACCCTGGCTTCCTACATTATCTGAAAGGAAATTATAGCATCTTGTCTAGAGTTAGCAATAATTTCAACCACTGGATTGCACTCCCAGTTCAGCAAGAAGTTCTTTAACCTCTAAGCCTTTTGATTATGTGATAGTGCTCAACATTTGCAATACATCAATTATAGACGGATACATTAGCGCAAGGTGTATTTTCAGGGACAGATACGGTGTAAGTGAAAGATATGCCTATTTCATTTATGTTGCAAAATTGGCTCTTATGAAACTAGAAACATCATTAGAACTGATGGCACAGGAACACTGTAATTTTCTCTGACTTGAGAGAAAAGCAAACTTGCATTTTCTCATGCCATTAAAACTGTAACTGCTGCAGAACAACCACACAACTGCAAGCTTTTGTAGGCAAGCTTAATAGCGTGCCATGTTACGCAGGCAGAATTTGAGGCTATTTTTAAGAGTTCGTATTTTATGCTGCCCTTTTGCATTTTTTTTTTCCTGTGGCATTTCCAACATTTGAAGGGTACACTCTTTTCTAAAGCGTGATACACCTGTCAGATCTCAAGAGAACATTCACCAAGTTATGTTACACAAGCACTTATGGACAGTAAGGCTTGATTAGGTCCTGAATATATCCCAAAAAGGAGCACAAATCTCTGCCAAAAGTAATGCTTTCCTGGCTGTCCGAATGAAAGAACAGATCGGCTGTTTTGAAGGCAAGCTCCTGAAGCTCCTAGCAACATGAGCAAGATAATGAGTATGACACCAGAATTAATATAAATTGAAAAAAACCAACGCACCGCCCCCCACCCTTGTGCACTCAAGGTTAACCGCAGAAATAGTAATTTCTGAAACAATTTCCCTGTTACCCAATTATTTGGGACATGAGAAACAGAGCACCATCTCACAACGCTGCAACAGACTAAAATCCAATTTTTTCCCCCTCCAATGCTGAAGTGCCTTTTTTTTTTTTTTTTTTAAAATCTTCTCCTAGATTTATCCCCCACAAGGATATAATTATGTTAAAGGAAAATAGATTGCCAGGAGCCATGAATGTCTTTGGATAGCTGCCATAACTTTATCTGTAGATCTTCACAAAGAGCTACTCCCACATGAATCACTTCTGGAGAGAGAAAGGGTGGAGGTGGGTCGCAGGAAACCAGAATGCGTAGAGGAAAGAAGCCCTTTCCAGCCACATTTATTTTTATTTTATCTGGTTTGAAGCCTTTCAAGAGAGAAAAAGTTTCTTTATTTTACAAATATTTCTTTTCCTCTTTGATCGGCAGCCACAAGATTTCCCGAATTCACAAAAGGTGGGGGCTGTGCCCGGGCTGGCCCTGCGTGCATGATTGCCTTGAGGTGCGTGTACGATCGCGCTGCTGGCAGGGAGACTCGAAAGCTAACGAAGGAGAGAATAGTCTATCTGAAGATTTATTAGCCCAGACTCCTCTTAATTCCCAGTGACAGCCAGAGCAACTCCATGTCCTCTCTCGCTGGAAAGGAATCTAAGCCCGATGCCTAAATAGTAAAAGTACTTGTGTCCATTGAGTACACTTTAATTTTCCAGTTCTCATATTAGCATTGAGAATTTTATTCTAATATGGATGTATGAATTCAGGACCTGCAAGTGATATTATGGATCTCACCGTTGCCAGTCTTTTATCAAGTAACAGACTTTGATCGACTCTTTAAGAATGAATTGAAACCTAACCTTCATTCCTCCGACCTCTCAGCTCTCTCAGGATATCCTGATTCAAAAAAATTATCGTTTGCTAAGACTAATTAGTAGCTTGAGTGAGGCACACAGATCCCTCTTTCCTCTGCAAGTTCCTTTCTCTAATGCTGGTTTCCTTGACTATCGCACCGAAGACTTTGTTATAAGCTCCAAAGCCGAGTCCTCATTAGTAACCCGCAAGAACAGTGCAGAAGCCAAGCAACAGTGTCCAAAAAAAATCTCAGAGCTTTAACAAAATGAACCGGAAATACTGAAACTAAATGATGAGCTAATCCAGCAAACTGCCAGCTGCACGATGTACTTTAGAAGATCAAACGTAGGAAATTAGAGAGTTACTGGCACTTTGCACTAGAACTTCAAGAACTCCTCAAGTTTTTAAGGTTATCTATGTCGGCATCTAAGACCTTGCATCCTCCTTCTACATCTGACATAGCCACATTTGATATGTAGCAAATGATGCTGTTTTATGTCTCTAACTAGGCCAAAAGCAGCTTTTAATAAGCTAGCCTATATTCTGGCTTTCTAAGAAAGCTAGATAGTGGGATGCAGTGGTTCTCTCCACTTTTGCAGCTCATTTTAGCTGAAGATCCATCACTGTTTTTTGAAAGCAAAAATTAAGCTGGCATATTGGACATCTGATGTCAATTAAGAAGTGCAAATTTAGAGCAAGGTTCATGGCAAAAGTAGCATAGCTGCAGTACACAATCATTTTGCCTATAAAATTAGATACCGCAGGCCAAATTCTCAGCTTGTATAAACTGACAAATCCCCGCAGTGACATTGGACCACATCTGAATTATCAAGCGATGCTTTATCACACCACAGTAACTGCTTCGTGAAGGTCAGCCCCTGAACCATCAGGAAATTGATCCTCGCCACAGATATATGACCATGCTTCCATAGCAGCTGATTTTGTAAGACAAGTATACACATTAATGTAGCTGAATATTAGGAGCCCAAAAAATATTAAGGCACTGGGTTAGGTGTATTTGAGATTAATTGTTTGAAAGTAAGGGCTTATATCTAAAAGGCAGCAGCCCTGTCAAAGTTGTTCTAATGCATTAGAGATCTTCATATTTTCTTGCTTTCCCTATACTGTACCTACTATCATTGTCAATTTATTGAGTGGAAACTGAGCTTGCTACTCTGCAGTTATTTTACACTGTAAAATTTAATGAGTTATTTAATTCCTAACATTATAAAAAGATTTTGGATTGATAAAACCTGTCCCGCTTAAAAATCCTAATTCATCCCCCTCCATCTTCAACTGCTTACAACCTTATCCCAGATATTAATTTTAGGGCTTCCCAACTGTTTTTCAAGCCTGGGTTACCAAAACCTACAGCAGTATTTATCCTCTCATAGTTTCTTTGGTTTCAAGATGTTTTATATTCAAGAGCTTCAGAAACCAGAGAGTACCTGTAATGGCATGCTCCTTTATTGTTAGCATGTGTGCTCAGCTATTAGTGACAGGACCACACATCCTAGAATTAAACAGAAGTGCTCAAGTACAGCTTTATTTTCAATAAAGATTTTGGACTTCAGTGGCCGCATTGTCATTAGATACCACGAGCTGATTTAGTGCCTGGGCTCTAACTTCTTAGGCTCCTTGGATGGTGTAAAACCATGAGTTCTGCCAGTGAACCACCATGTGGTTCTGGCCAAGCCACCTCTGGCCAGCTGTGAGGGATGTTTACAATACGCAGCACCAGGCAAAACCGAGTTCCTTAAGAGTCTGTATCTACAAAATGGAAAAAAATATTTAGGACACTTGCTTTTGAAGTATTTTGAAAACATAAGCGATAAACAGCATTTTTCTTATAGTTTAGAAAACAGACCTAAAAATGCTTTGACCTTTCTCCCTGGCTTTAGATATCTCCCCCCCCGCCCCTCATTTTAACCCCATTTGACTGTGCATACAGGTTAATTGCAGATTCCCTCAAGTTCTCTCATGCAGCTTGCCGCTCTGCCAGTACTTCTTGTATATTCTAAATCTAAGAAGATAATAGCCAAAAGTCTGAGCCCTGACTTGCTCTATTCAAGAAATCAGATGTTAGTATCAAAGAAAACACATGAAAAAAACCAAATGAGCCCTTCTGGCCTAGATCACAGCTTTGTGTTATTTTGATCCCAGTTTCTGTGTTCCTCCTACAATCAGTTTCAAGTCAACCTTCCTTTAATACTGCAAGAGAAAATGCCAAATACACACGTAACCTCTGATCTTTAGATGCTGAGCAAGAGCACAATAATCCTAAGGTTTTATGAAATCACTTAATCTTAGTATTTACTACATTTCAAAAGAAGTGTTTGAAGAGCAGCAGAAAGGAGAAAGTGGAGAATGCGGTATCTTTTTATTATGATACAGAACACTTCAAAACTATTTTGTCTGGGTCATGCTATCTCTAACTCCAGCACAAGCACGCCTTGTTTAAAATACCTCTGGCAATAGCTTTCCAATTACTGCTTCCCAAAAACTTTAACGGAGGGGGATGACTTTGTTTAGCCTTCTCCTCGGCTAGTTCAAAGGACAGTTATCTGACCCAGCAGACCGAATCCTGCCGCGTAGAGCACGTTCACGTTTCACACCAAGTAACGCTGCACAGTACAGAGTGCACAGACATACATATATGTGTCTGTAAGTGTAGAGTATGCAAAGAATTAAATTCCAAAAGATTTTTAATGAAGAAAAATAGGAAAAAAAAAAAAAGAAAAAATGTCAGGTTTGAACCTTGCATAAATACAGGTCACAAAGAGCTTTTATTATTAAACTTTTAAACCATATATGTCATCCATTTTGTTATTCACTTGCAATTTAGATTTTAATTTATCAGGTGGATGAAGGGTAGGTTTGGAAATAGGCTTGGTGGAATTTACCAGCCTAGGGAGCAGCTTTTCAAGATCTGTCTTTACTGTTGCTACTAAGCTAACAGTAACTTACTGTTGCCTGAGATTGCTTCTGATATTTGAAGTCTCTATGCTAGTACGGACAATTCAGCTAGACAATGCAGTACTTGTGCTCTAGGTCTACGTGCAGGTTATGTCTATATGCAGGTTATGTTTATATAGCTTTGTACAGAGAATTTTAGAAGGCAGTTTTGAAAATGTGTCATCAAAAGCTCAGATAATTATTTTCTTTCTATATGGGTAATCAGGTCTCTGAAATAACTTGTGCCATTTTAGAAATAGCTGGTGCTTGAAATAAAATTTCAGATAACCACGGCTGTGGGAAAATCTGCCCCAGCCTAGAAGCAGAGAGGGAAAGGGGGAGGATGAGGGGCAATGGGGTACTGGGGAGGGAGCGGGAGCATGGGAGACCTGCTCAGCCAGAGAAGGCTATAAGCAAGCTGCTCGTCGTGTTGTCCGGACTGCTGCCAAATGGGGGCAGGGAAAGGTTGTTTTGTTTGCTTTAAATAAATAACCTGCAGGTTTATGCATGAAAGCAGGGTAGGAATGAAATAACTAAATTGCTCCCTCAAATGTCTATATGTCTTTTTGTCTTCAGTGCAGATCGTAGGTTTTTTTTCTTTCATTTTAGATTTAATGGATCAACAAGCAAAAAAAAAAACCCTAAACAAAACAAAAAACACCAACCAAAAAACCCACCAACATAACTGAACAAAAGGACAGAAAATGCCAAAGTTCTCAGATGTCTCCTTCACAGCAGACGTGGTGCTTTGACTTACCGGACTCCCGTGTACGACCTCTCACCACTTCGCTCCATGGTCCTGCCCCGATAGCATTGAAAGCCTGGATCTGCAATTCATACTCTGTCCACTCCTCCAGATCTTCAATCGTGTACTCTCTTTCCAATCGGTCATTAACGACCTTCATCAGGGTGGGAGACTGCAGATCCACACGCCAGAACTTTATCCTGTACCCCACAGACTCTGGATTGCCGTTATACTGTGTGTCGGGGAGGGGCTGGCAAACGACAAAGACAAGACAATATTCCTACACAGAACACATTGCCAGCGCTTTCCAAACTACACACCAAGGCTGTCTGAACTCATATAAGGCCACAGGAAGGCAAAAAAGATCAAGAGGTTGATTTTCTGTTTTATTTATGTTTCACAGTCTCTAAATTTCTGTGGTGCTTGAAATTTTCTTTTAGTTTTTACCTTGATTTTGAACCAAATAGATATGCACACAGAACTAAGCCATTTGCTGTGGGTGTATCAACAGAGATGATATGAATACAATATATTTCAGAGCTTTGTGATTAATTATGGAAATGAATGATAAATTGCTGAAGCATGTGACAAATTCATTTATCGTACATTTTTTACTTTTTTTACTGACTCTCTGCCTACTCGTTTATCAGCAGAGATTTATTCTAGTATTCTAACTCCCCAAGCAATTTCAGAGATTAAAATATGAAATAATTAGCCTACTTCATGAAGTTTAGAGTTTTTCCCCGTAAAACTAACTAGACGATGCCACGGATGGCTGAGATTCAGTTCTGAATCACTGGGAAAGTTTGAGACACATTAACATTTCACAGCTTAGAAGACTCTATCCCGCAGGCAAGCAGGGCTAGAACTGTGACCCTTATTCTGTAGGAAGGAAGGAATTCCCAGCTCCCAGGGGGACACAGATTCACCTGCAGGTCTTGGAAAAAAAAGAGATTAAATACTTTCAAATACTGATGTTATTAAGCATGAAAAAGGTGTATCAGGTCATTTTTAGCTGTGGCTGTTGCTCCTCCTGAACCCTGCACAGTTTGACTCATGAAAAACAGGCTTCCAGGTAGCACAGCAAGGAAACACAATCTTGAAAATGTTTTAAAGTCTCTTAAAACAACCTCGAGGTAATTTTGATTAAGATATGTAGGTCTGGATATAGTACCAAAGGTTTAACAATGCGGGCATGTTATTCACATGGTAAAGCCACGAGTGAGTTATGTGGGTCCTATCAAATGAACTGCAATGGCTTTTCTATGGATATTGAGGTGACACCTTCAAGTTTGATGTTTTGTTCTTTCAGGGTTCGGAATTAAAAGCAGCGTCCCACTGAGAAACTGGAATTATTCCTTTCTGATGGGAGGAAAAACCCTCTTGTTTCTAGCCTGATTTTGACTTCCAGTCACAGAGTTTATGCATGGAAAAGCTGACATTTGGGCAAAAGGAAACCTGTGCTTCATCAACTTCACACCACAGTAACCCCAGTGGAAAATTCTGCCTAACAGGGGAGAAGAAAAGCATTCAGGAGCAGGTTAATTGCCAAGTAAATCCCAACGTGGCAACTCTGCAGGTAACTGAGACAGTCAAAGGGGCACAACAGTGTCATCAATCACTGCATCTTCGCAATTATTCATTTCTACGTTTTATCGCATAACTCCACACCCTCTCACATAAATATAATCTTCCCACAGGAGCGTGATGTGAAAACTTTGCTGCCTTTGAACCACAGCCGTTCAGTACCTGCAGGATGATTGCCAAAGGCCGCTGCGCACCTTCTGGGGACTGTTTTGTACAAAGCAAACAACTGAGCCCTAGGAAACTCCAAGTTGGCTCAAGTGTTATATTCCTGTCCCACGTGCTGACCCAGGCTGTGGAACTAGAGAGTCTCAAAAGCCAAGGTTTTACACACAGGCATATATTCCCCTGATGAAGCGGCAGAAGTAGCGGCAGTAGGCAATTTAAGTGATTAATAAGGCACTTAAGGTAAGTCTCAGATTTCCGACTATTCTGAAAAAGGAAATAATTTTGCCTTTACTCCTTATACTAAATGCAAGGAAAAAGCATTCCTGAGTGCTGGCCTGAGCCCCTGGGGAAGCAGCCGCATCCCAAGCACCAGGACCCGGCTCCCCTCCGGCCCCGTTCCTCCTCGCCAGCTCACCACCCATCGTAGCCACAGGCTGGGCTTGCTGGCCGGGCGCCCGGCCACCACCCCG